ATTTTAACATCCGGCGTTTGTAGATGGCCTGACTCCATTCACTCCCATGTATGAACGAGCAAAAACAGTCTGTTGAGAATGTTGGCAGGCATGGTATTACGATAATTTCAAAAGCAAACATGCTCCCATGTCCTGTTGTTTCCTGGCGAAGCCAGAGTTCCAGGCTAGTCGGGTGTAAGCTACACTCGATTGGATGGCGCGGGTTGCACGGTCTGCAAGGGCTGGCTTGGCTGACAGTACGGAGATAGGAGGCGAAAAAAATCGCCATTTTCGAGGTAGCGCGAAGAGCACCCTATGTTCAGCCCTACCAAATAAGGCCTAGCCTACATTTCCTTTTCAACATCAATCGCGGCACCAATCCGAACCCGCCCACACGCGTTTTAATCGATTGGCTAGTGCATACCCCTGGCCCCTGCCCTCGCTTCACGAGTGACCTCCCACTGTAGATTATTTAACCCTCACACCTCCGTACAGGCATGGTCCGCCCCATCTAACGCGCACAGTAAGTCGGCCCGCAAAAAGAAAAAGAAAAACGCGCTCGCGTTGACGCGCTGTGCATCGCTTTGAACCGTGCAGCAAACGACTGGATGACTCGCTGGAACGTTGAGTCGAAACTTTGGCCTCACTAGAAATTGTATGCTATGTGGGCACCCAGGAATCTGGGGTTGATTGACTAACGGATGGTCTTCGTATCGTGCAACGACGCCATCCCAAGAAAAAGGCACCAAGCAGGCAACTTCCACCCTCATCCGAGCGGCACAGTGCTCTCCCAGGGCCTAGGCTGGCAGCCTGGAGCGCCGTCGCTCAGCCGCTCGACTTCCCCGGGCGCTACTCCACAAACAGCGCCAGGGGACCAACATCGCAACCCCACTCCATTCCCTGGTGACCGGGCCGCCCCCTGCTAGAACGGGGAGCGAACCTGTGTTTGTTTAGCCCTCGCTTCCGTTCCAGCACACCTACAACTCGGGACGAGAATCACATTCTTTCATGGGAAAGCCTTTCTAGTCATAACCGGCCCGCGTCCTGTCTGACCCATCCTGCTCGAACAACCACAGAGCCAGCGCCCGTACTTTTTGGCCGCACCTGTCTCCTTGGCAAGCCGCAGTACCTGCTAGGCATACCACCTGTCGACTACTAGACTTGCATCTCCCAGCGCCATGGCTTCACTCAAGAGGAAAGGGGGCAGTCTGGCCGGCGCTGACACAAAAAAGGCCAAGAACGCCAGCATCACGTCCTTCTTTGGGGCGCCGAAAGCCGGTGCCGGTAACGCGGGCGCGGGCGCCGGAGGGCCCTCTGCCTCCGCTGCGCCCCAGCCCGCCGGCCCCAAGTTCGACAAGCGGAAGTGGGCCGAGAAGCTCACCGACGAGCAGAAGGAACTCCTCAAACTGGAGATTGACACCCTGCATGAGAGCTGGTTTTCTCTCCTGAAAGATGACCTCGTGTCCAAGGAGTTTCTCGATCTCAAGAGGTTTCTGAACCGCGAGGCCGCCGCCAACAAGACCATTTTCCCGCCCAAGCAAGATATATACTCATGGTCAGTATACCAGGCCTTCGGTCCTTTCACTCCCAGTGCAACCCCGCCGGTCCAGATTGCTAACTTGAATGCTTCCCGCTAGGTCCCGACACACCCCGTTCCACAACGTCAAAGTTGTCATTCTAGGCCAGGACCCATACCACAACGTCAACCAGGCTCACGGCCTGGCCTTCTCTGTGCGGCCACCGACCAAGGCGCCGCCCTCCCTAAGAAACATGTACATCTGCCTCAAGAACGACTACCCGTCTTTCAACTCGCCGCCGACGGGCGGCGGCCTGCTCACACCCTGGGCTCAGCGTGGAGTGCTGATGCTCAACACATGCCTGACGGTGCGCGCGCACGAGGCCAACTCGCACGCCAACCACGGCTGGGAGCGCTTCACGCAGCGCGTCATTGATCTGATAGCGACCCGGCGCTCCCGCGGCGTCGTCTTCATGGCCTGGGGCTCGCCTGCCGCCAAGCGAGTGTTCAAGGTCGATGGATCGCGGCACCTGGTGCTCAAGGCGGTCCACCCTAGCCCGATGAGCGCGGCGCGGGGCTATTTCGAGTGCGGCCACTACAAGCTCGCCAACGAGTGGCTTGTCAAGCGCTACGGCGAGGCTGCCGAGATCGACTGGGCCCTGGTCCCCGGCAACACGACCTTGGAGGCAAAGCCCGCTGCCGCCGAGGCAGAGGCCAATGTCGATGAGGACGCCGAGGAGGCGGAGAGGGAACTGGAAAGCAAGGCTGATGCCGCCAAGGGGAATCTGAATGAAGAAACCAAAGGAGACGAGGAAAACAAAGACCCCGCAAAGGCTTGATGTCACGCAGATTGGTTCCGGCCTTGATGATATGCGAGGGAGACGGAATTCGGCGCAATCCTGTTGGGTCATAGGTTCCGTCACCCGATCATCCAGCCGGGTCTCGACGGAGCTATCCGATGATGGGCGGGGTAGACGAAAAAGAACATGACATCGGCGAAGGAGAGCAACAGCAATGAGACTCCACAGTGTACGAATAAAGGCCCAGGTATAATGTCTGGTAGTGTGGCTCCATGGAGAGCTAGGGAATTATTTATCGAACGATGTCGCGACTGCGTAGGCAGTCTCGCAACCAGATTGACTGGCTCTCGTTGTCAAAAGGCAGCACCTGGTCGCCTGTCGGGCGGCGGCCGACGAAGGGGGCGACGTGGGCTTCCACGGACCCGGCCTAGCAGCATCAGTCCTGGTCACAGAGTCCTTAACATTCATGCTTTTAGTTTCAGCACGTCAGCCGTACAGGGAACGCCTGCCCAGCTGCCACCGCCTTGAACCCGAGAAGCGTAAGTCTGGGGCTATGGCGTGGCGACAATTCTGGTCGCGTAACGCCCGGACTTCCGAACGCTATCCGTTCAGGCGGCGGCGGAAGGGGAAACAAAACATAATAAAAAAATGGAACGGAACAAATGGCCGGCGTGTGGCTTCGTCGATGGCAGGATGACGTCGGACGAACGCAACTAGACCAAGAACTACTGAAAACAAAACATCCTTGATCTTTTTTTTTTACCCCCATCCCCTTGGCGGCCGAGCTCCGAGGTGAAGTAGCGCATGAAGGCGCTGGAACCGCTACACTGATTCATTCGCACTTTCCAGGCTCGCCGTCGACCATGAAAAGAGAAAAACGCCCAGAAACACGGATGGCTGGCCCCGATTGTCTCTTGTCCTTCTTGGCGCCCGGTCTCCCGGGGGAGGGCAACAAAGTCAGGCACGCACGCATGCATTGACTGGGCGATTGGGAAGCAGGGGGGGCCGACCAGGGGGTCCCTGATGTGTGATGGGCGTGATATGGGATTTTGACAGCACAGCAGCGGGTCTCGAGGCGGAGGAGGCTTCTTCTTCGCTGGCAAGATGCTCTTTTTCTGGCTGCTGGCGCAAAGCTAGGGCTGGCTTCTGATCCAATCAGCGGGGACAAGGAGGGAGGAAACACTAGACCCTCTCGGCTGGGTGTTCCCAATGTCCAATGACGGGCTGGGGGCGCGCGCCCGCCGCCGGGAAACATGTTCGCAGACGCGAAAAAGCCAAAAGGCCGGGGAGGGGGGGGGGGGGTTGCCGACTGGGGTTGGTTTTGAGTGGGAGGAGGAGAGGCGTGAAGAGGGCGCCGACACCTGAAAGTGCTTGCGCTAGGCGGTGGTGGGTGTGGGTCGGCGTGCCAGCTAGACCCTTGCATCATGGGAGACGGAGGGGGGAAAGAAGCAAAAAAAAGAAAAATTGGGTGCTGCAATCAAGGACTCATCACCATTCATTGGGATTTTCCTCCTCGCTATCTCCTTTTGGCTCAATTTTAAATCAGGGAGCAGGCCTCGCAAACTGACAGCTAACGAACACGCCGATTTCTATGAGTCTTTTTTTTTTTTTAATCCTTCCGCTTTACAAGACATTACTCTGTGTTCCACCTTTGACGACAAGCCTCCTCTAGAATTCCCGAGTGGGGGTTGGTGTGCCGAGTACAGTTTCTGTCCTACCCACCTCTCGAAGCGGCCAACCCACCCCAGACATATCGCAGGTCCTAATGGAAGTATGTGCTGGACAACCCTTTCTTGGGTTTCCCTCACCCGACCGATGGCTTGTGGCTTTCTGCCTGACCGCCTGCATGCCTGCCGCCAGGTATCCCGACCCTGCCAGCATAGGTGCCTCCTCGGCCGTCGTGGCCACTGGTGTCTGTGATGTCTGGAGGAAACTGCGCAAGCCCGCACAGACTATCAATCAGCAGAGCTTGGCAAAGATCGGTACCTCGGGGAGACCTTTCCATCCCCTGTATTTCAGGTACAGTAGCGCAGGTAGCGCGAGTACTTCAGGTGTATCAGATCCTGGGTCTCCACTCTGGATCCCATTCCTGGCCGCGGGATGTGTCGCCCACCGAAAACACTTCAACAACAGGGCCAGTTCAGGTAAGGTGCGGGTGCTGAGAGGTGTCCACTACAAACTTTTGGGAGAGTCGAACGTCAATTGATTCGGCATTAGATGGAAACCGACCGCCAAGCCTGGAGTTGGAAGTGCCATGTATCTCTCTATGTCCGTGACTGTTCGCCATTTATATGCTCATCTGGTGGTCGTCACCGTCGTATCCCGGCCAGGCGAGGCACAGTCGGCCGACGGCGCATGCCCAAAAGTCAAGGGACGTTGCGCGCGGCCGCCCTGTGTGGTACGCACTGAAATGTAGATGCGCCGCAAAAAGGTTGCATCCGTCTTGGGGTGGGTGGGTGCATGCGGCAGTTGGCAAATGGACGGACGAGATGGGTGACGGACGTGGGAGGTGAGGCAGGAAGAAGAACGATGGGTGCGCGCGTTGGGCAGGTGCGCCCGATAGGCGTCGCAATTTACGCCAGGCCCGCCTGGGACATTCTGGTACCTTATTTCCTCGCGCCGTTCCTCTCCGTCCATGTCTCATGTCCCACCTAACGCTAGCCCCTGAAGACGAGCTGAGGCTAGGTAGATGCTGCTGCTTCATCACCAGTATCGACAATAATATTTGCTTGTCGGTTTGGTCTGCTGTTTTTTTTCCTTCTCTCTTTTAGCCCTTCCCTCCTCCTGCCTTCTCTCTGTGACCATCCTTCCGTTTTGCGGTGTTTCGCCTTTTGTTTTCTACCCGTCTCCTCGTCACTTTCCTTCTTGCCACTCCAGCCGTTGGCTACTACCTGCTTTCATTTTTCGTTTTATAATTTTTCCCACCCCAGGGGTCCATCCTCCACTTCCACGCATCTCGCCCTCTCGTTCGATCGTGTACCCCTTCGCATGTTTCCATTGGACCCTTTCGAGCGACACCCGGCCCGTCCAATTCGGTACGCTCGCACGTCTGGACCCAACGTTTCTTTCTCCACCCGAGTGCAACAGGACCGAGTTTCGTTTTCTCTTGTGAACGCGGGTCCCCAGCCAATTTGATTCCATCGGCTGGCTTCGAGGTCTCAAACGGACGTCTCCAACACCGACTCTGCGCATAACCACACACAAACACAAGGCTGCTTCTCAAGCACGCCCCGGAGCAGACACCGTGCTGCTGTCTCCTCGACGAACGCGTGTGCCCTCACCGCCGGCCTGCCCTCGCATAGACCGCTCAGAGACACCATGCCCAGTATATTCTCCCGCCTCAAGGGCAAGGATGGCCCCACGAAGTTCAAGAACAAGAAGGGCGGCGGCCTCGACCACCTAAAGGATCAGGCCCCTGCCAAGCCGCGGTGGGAAGATGCCTTCACGAGGCCAACCGTCGAGCCGGAGGAGATCGAGGAGTTGGTCCGGCGCTGCACTGTCGAGCTCAAGGCTAGAGGTAATCCCTCCCCCACTGTCTCCCTCTCTCTCTCTCCCCGCGTCCGCGGGTTCTTGTGATTCCGGGCTAACTGACGCGCCATCTACTCTCCTCGGCCGGCTCACCAGGTCTTGACCTCCCCTTTCTTCTTCTCCCCTTCCGCCCGACGTCTGATCCCAGCGGCGTGCGGACCTTTATCCGCCATTTCTTCGACCCCAGCTCCAACCTGCGGGGTGAGATGCTAACCCAGGAGTTGCGCATGATCAAGCCAATGGTGAGTTTGCCTGTCTGAGAACTCTTGCGTGTCCAGTTCACAACACTAACACTCCTTGAAGGTCATATCCGGGGTTATCAAGTGGTGCTGGGCTAGATTGCAGGGCGGTTTGGTCGGCTGGGACGCCTACGAGTTGTTCAAGGTCGGAGAGCAAGGTCGGTGAAAGCGTTCACCCCCAAATTATCTGCGTGCGCCCGAGTGGTGGCTTTTGTGGCGCCTGCCGCTGACCGTTTTGCCCCTTCAGATTCCGGCATGGCCCGGGACTCGTTCAAGACCTTCATTCCACTGAGCATCGATAACGACGCGCGCACCTCGATTGTATTCGATTTCTTCGATCTCCTTTCAGCCGTCGCCGCCCACGGAAGGGCCAATGGCTTCGGCGGCCGCAAGCTGTCGCGCATGGCCTCGTGGTGGGCCTTTGAGCACAAGGATACCGGCAACGGCTTCGATGGCAGTTACAAGGCGTGGCTCAAGGCCGCCGACGCTACCAGTCACCTCTTTTTTGCCTATCTCAGAACTTTGAGCCCCCAGCGTGTCCGCGCTGGCATCTCTGCGCTGCCCACTTCGCTGCAGACGCTCGTCCAGGAGACCGAATACCCACCTGAGCGGCCATCGCTCATGATGTCATCGACTTACAAAGTTGTCATGTTCGTCGAGACGGTATCGCCCACGCCCTTCGCCCTACTTCGCCGAGGCAACCACTTCCAATACCGCGAAGACGACCGTATGCTCCGCGAGTTTTCGGAATACGACGATCCGATCCAGGCCCTGACGGAGGAATGCCGCAGAGTCCTTAAGTCTGTCTCTGCGGCCAACCAGACCCAGGCCGTCTCTAGCTCCAAGCACTCGACCGGCCTACGCGACGCATCCTGGTCCCGATTCGAAGATATTGGCTTTGCCGCGACACTTGACGAGGAGGACGAGGACGAGGATTCTGCTGCTCACAGACATCAGGCCCCGGGACTGAGGTCTACCCCAGCCTCGGGCGCCGGCCTGGCCAGGCCTACTACCCCATCCTGGGCAGACTTTCTCTCTGCTGGTTTTGTGGACGACGGCCCGAACAGCCCATCGAACCTACTGCTTCCCCCGGACAAAGTGCTCCCGCCAATTGACACGACAGTGCGCCAACGCAGCGCGCAGTCCCACAGGCCCAGGCTGGAGACGGAGCGCCACCTGGAGCCAGGAGAGTTGGCAAGCATATCACGCTTCGAGCTCGATGATTCGTTCTGGTGGGTCTGGATGACCAGCTTGGCCCCCGAGGAGACCTCAGAGCGCAAGTCCTCGTTCGGCCGCTGCGCTGTAATCGAGACGTCGCTGCGCAGCGGCCGTTGGCTAGTAATGGAGGAGATGGTCAAAGGTGCTGTATCGGAGCCTGACGCGGGAGCGTACATTGCCGAGAAGAAAGGCTTCTTCAGTTGGACTCGCCGCAACAAGGGAGGCCTTTCCCGGAGTAAATCAACCGGGAAACATGCGCTAAATAAGGGAGATCATGGCGCGACAGGTATCGGTATCAGCAAGGCGAGCATCGGACCAGACCAGCAGGCCAAAATTCAAGCCGCCGCGCAGCAGCTCCAGGCCAGGCAGCTCCAGGAGAGACAGACGGCTAACATGGGCTCGCCCACCCGTCGGGGACGCACCGACCATGAGCTGATGGCGGAGAAGACAAACAGCGTTATGACGATGCAGCCCATGATCATGAGCGAGGCGTCGCCTGCCATGAAGTGGGCGAACAAGTACGACAAGGATGCCATTAAGGAAGCGTACCTTGCCAACAACAACGCTGGACGCGGCATGTCGGAGGCGAACCTCCACGCCAACGGCCACGCCGAGCATGACAGGGATGAGCGTCCTCCACCCCCCACCAAATCCCCCTCGCTCATGCCCCAGTCCCCATCCTCGGCTATTCCCCCGTCGCCTATGCTGAGGGACCAGGACGATATGTCAACTCACGGGCGTGGATCTCCCTTGCCGCCCCCGAAGGAGGAGCAGCCGAGCATCGAGCTCGCACGTCACACTACCATGTCCCCTGAGCCTGACCTCAGCCCGGACAGCAAGAAGCATCAAAAGAAGCTTCACAAGGAGAAAGACAAGGCGGCGTCTGGCGGTCTGCGTAAGCTGTTCGGTCGCAAGAACAGGCGGTCCAAGCTGCCTGATCACGCCGCGGCTGATCTCAATGGCATGTTGGCCCAAGATGGCCAGAAGAACAGCGTTGAAGTTCCGGTCCCACAGGAATGGGCTGCACCAAAGTCGCCCGAGCCTCCGATCTCACGGGCCGGGGCTGCCATGTCGCCGGCTGAGCAGTGGGATGAGGACCGCACCCCTCGTGCGCACACCCCCTCCACGCCCACCCGGCGCCCCGTTGCGCAGTCTACGCCTGTGCGACAGGAGCCGGAGCCTCATCATGAGGCATCCGTCGACAGCACTTCCCCTGTTGACACGCACGACGTCGCCGAGGCCCGGGAGGAGTTCTCGCGGTTTGACCAAGGCCCGCTGGATGCGCCGGCCTTTGTTCCCGAGTCGGACGAGGAGGATGACGCGGCGCCACCGCCCATCGCCCGGGAAACGTCTCGTGTTGCCGAGAAGCCCGTCCGCGCTCCTGTTAATGTTCCCGTCTCTCCCGTCTCTCCTGTGCCCCCGGCTCTAGATCGATGGGCGCAGATCCGCAAGAATGCCGCCGACCGCGCCGCCCAACGCCAGAGCGAAGAGCAGAGCCAAGGTGGCTTCAGTAAGACTACCGACGGTGACGGCGACACTAGCGGGGAGGAGAGTAAGTTAACTGAATCCCCAATCTCCCAGAGATAATAGCCCAATCTTTTACTAATATGCCTCGTTTGCCCGTAGCTATCGAGTCTCGTGTGGCCCGTATCAAGGCTAGAGTCGCTGAGCTGACGGGCAACATGGAGAACACCCCTGGTGCTCCTCCCCGTGCTCCCCAGCCCCTTCGTCGCTAAGTTCTTGGGAAACCGAGCTCCGATGGCCAAAGTCCCAGCCCCCGACCCACCGTCCAGCCCATCATTCCTGGGCAACCTCGCATTTCACCACGTTGCACAAAGCCAGAACCATACCCGCCATTTTCCCGTTTTAGTATCCCATGCCGCAAAGTTTTCCTTGCAGATAAACCGCCTTTTTTTCCCTTGTGTTTCTCAACTTCATGCTCTTCCGCTGTTACCGCATTCATAACCAGTGCGCACAGCAAGTAAGATCTCGTCGCATCTTCTCGTCTGACCTTTTTTTGGTGCTGCCTGCTTTTTGTCTCTTTTTCCTATCTGGAGCGTTTACTATTTCCTTTGTCTTTTTATTTCAATACCCACGCGCAAGCACGACCTGCATATCGTCAAATACCCAACCACCCTATCTCCTAATCCGAGGAACTCGGGCCGCTCAGGTGGGATTCTCGAACCCGAATTGCCTGAGGGCCCTTGTGCCTACATACCTACCTCTATCGTCTTCTCTAATCATCTTGGAAAACACGCGGGTGACGGCTGGAGGGAAACCTGGCGCGGCCAAAGCCTCTTGGCCTTCCAGCATCGTCTTGTGATACTGGCTCGCACTTGAGCGCGCCTGGCGGATGAATGCGCTGGGGCTTTACGGGTCACGTTTGGGTCACATAAAGCCGGTGATTTTGGAGAAAAGTCAGCTACTTAGGTTATAGCCACTTCTCCTTTTTTTTTTTCACTTCTGCGATATTTAGCCTGCAAACTTGCTCAAGTAAGCTCCTATTTCGCTTCTACAATATCACTTCCACGTGTTGATGCCTGTAGATTTTGATATCCCTCACCGCGTCCTAGATCGGTGACGGCGAGGACTGTTCGTGCAGCAAGTCAAGTACCAGGTCTGTTTTGTCTAGGTACTCTAGGTAGGCAATAAGCACAAGCAATTCCGCTTGAAAGTCACAAAAGAAAAGCTGATATTGATGGTGTTGAAAGTATCGCCGTAAACAAATGCAAAGCCAACAACCCGAACCGCCCAACACCTTGAAGATGCAACGCTTTGTTCCCCCGGCCATCACGGCGCTCGACCGTTTTACATGTCCGGCCGCGATACACGTCTACATTCCATCTATCCTTTAATGTACAATACTCGAGCAATGTGGGACAGTCTATAACAATCTAGTGGGCGTGTCCGCCATGGTCGTGGCCGCCGCCGGCCTGCGGGCTGTGCGAGTGGCTGCTGCCGGGCGGGGACTTTGCCGAGTCGGCGCAGCAGCCCTGGCCGACGCAGTCGTCGACGCACTCGAGGAGGCACACGGAGCCGGGCCCGCCAGTGCCGCAGGCGGTGGCGGCCTCGGATACACCGTCGGGCTGCTGCTGGCGGTCGTCGAGGTGGGCGTGGTCGCGGTCGAGGCAGAACTCGGGCTGGATGGTGGCGCTGTGGATGCCGTAGGCGTGCAGGCAGCTGCGGGCGCGCATGGCCAGCTTCATGTACTTTTCGCCGTTCTCTTCCGAGATAGGGAAGGCGACCTGGATGTGCATGGAAGCGACCAGCTTGGTGTCGGAGAGCTGCCAGATGTGGACATGGTGGCAGCTGACGACGCCCGGCAGGTCCTGGATGTCGGCCTTGATGTCGGGGATGCTGAGGTGGTCGGGCGTGGCCTGCAGGAGGATCTTGGCAGTGGCGAGCGTGAGCGGGATGCAGGACCGCAGGATGATGAGCGTGATGAAGAGGGAGACGGCGGGGTCTGCGTAGAAGCGGTACTCCCACGAAGTCTTCCAGATGATGAGAGCGGTGACGATAACGCCGACGTTGCCGAGGGCATCGCCGATGACGTGTAGAATCATGCCGTTCATGCCCATATCTCCGTGGTCGTGGCCGTGGCTGTGGCCGCCTCGCGACTGGATGGGCTTGTTGTGGTTGTGGCCAGCGTGGTCGCACGAGTCCCGACGAGGGCGGCGAGTCGGAGCGTGGCTGTCAGCGTCATCCTTATGGCCTATTCTGACGGGCGCGGTTGCCGAAGTTCCAGGCACGATAAGGGGCGTCGTCTCGGTAGGGATGCGATCGTCATCACGGCTTGGGCTGGGCTCGCGGCTTCGGTCGCTGGGCGACTCCTCATCAGAATGGTTCTGCGGACGGCTTGCGGCAATGATCTCCTGGCGGAAGCTGGCGGGGTGGATCGAGAGGTCGTCAATGCTAGTGAAGCGGTTATGGCGGATGCTGCTGCCGCGACGCCTGTGCGCGTTCTTTGACAGCGCAGAAGCCCCGCCGCCGCACCTCTCTCGCGAATCGCCGTTACTGAAGCTGATGTGGCGCCCCTCCTCGGCGTCTCGGGTGGCGTCGTGGCCGTGCGAGTGCGAGTGCGCTTCGTCGGCGTGGGAATGGCCGTGGTCATGGCCGTGGCCGTGATCGTGGTCGCCGCCGTGTCCGTGGCTGTGGCCTCCGAGGACAAAGAACCCGACGAGGTTGGACGTGAGACCCAGGGAGCCGACAACCAGGATGAGGAACGGGTTCTGGATCTCGGGAGGGTCGAGAAAGCGGGTCAGGGCTTCGAGAACGATGGAGACGCAGAGGGCTATCAGGAAGACGGCGTTGAAGAAGGCGCCCAGGATCTCGGCGCGCAGCCAGCCGTACGAGAACTTGTCAGTGGACTTGTTCTGCGAGACCCTCACGGCCCAGAGGCCTATGATAAGCGAGATCACGTCGTTGAGCATGTGGAAGGCATCGGCCATCAGGGCCAGCGACCCGACGTAGATGCCGGTGCCGAGCTCGAGGAAGAAGAATGCCAGGTCGATGGCCAGCATTATGCTGATACGCGTTGCCTTAGACCACGCCATGGTGTCGGCCTTGTGACGGATCCTGCCGTTCAGGGGCTGCAATAGTGAGAGGGAAGAAAGGAGAGGAAACGCGCAGGCGACGCAGGAGGACTCGAGGCCGGCCAGGAGACTATGGGCTACCTAGGCTAGGCAGGCGTCGGTGATGGGTGGTCGGTGGTGTTTTTGGAGCCGCGGTGACAAGATTCGGCAGGGAGGAGCCAAGTGCCGGCGCGGCGTTGGAAGGGCGCTTTATGGAAAATGTAAAAATTGCCAGGGGAAAATCAAGGTGGTATTCTGATTGCGCCGCACCGCACGGCAACGCACGTTTAATGGGGCGCCGTTTCGCTTTAGTGGAGACAGGTTTCGTTGTTGACAGTGAGGCGGGATCAGATTTGGACTTGAATTATCCCTAGCAGGATTTGCGAGGAACGACCAGAAGAAGAAGTCAAAAACAAAACTCAAGAGAAAACAAACCCCAGACCTGGCCCAACATGCCACCACAGCACCAACCTCGAGATACATCGGATTGCCGCTCACAGCAGCTGAGCGCTATCTATGTGCTGTATATAAGGCACGCGCACTGCTGCGCGAGTACGGTTCGGAGATTTGCGGCTCTGCAGGCAGGCATCCATCGAACCGTTCAACCGCCAACTTGGGCGCGCCCCCAGTTGGGTGGGCATAGCCGCGCACCCCAAAGACGGCAACCGGGTGGGACAGTCCCTCAATGGCCAGAGGAAACGGGCCAGTGCTCGCGGTACAGCAATGTCCAATGAATAAGTGTTGGTACTGCACGCGTGAGCCGACGTGCGTGCGCAAAACATCTTGTGCTCCATGCCACAACCCCGAGGTCAGCTGGGCCAGTATCTTTCTCTGCTCCACCCGGCTGTTGGCAAGACGGCCCGTCGAGCCACCGTAGATCGACATCCAAGCCAGGCACCATTGCCCCCGGCCATGCCACCACCCACACCCAAGACCCAGCCGACCGGCAATGCGGGAACACCTGTCAGGCCCTTAGCCCTCGCTACAGCGCCGCCGCCATCGAGATCCCTCCTCCCTCTTCCGGCCGATAGGTCTGCTACGGACTGATGCCACTGCTTCATGCCGTTACGGTGGTCGGTCCGCCCCTCCCGCAGTGGCTATTTCTGCCGGCCGTCGCGACAGTAACTCTCCTAGAGTCTCGGAGCCCCCACGCTCTTGCCAAATGTGATGACCTGCGTCCCCAACGAAGAAGGCTCCAATGTGGCTTCTTAGCTGCACACCCTCGGCTGTTATCCTGAAGCTCCGGTCCGAATGCTATACAATGTTCATATCTTGACATGCAGATATCCATCCGTCGGCTCAGATTATGTCCAGCCTGCTCCTCAGTCATGTGATGATACCTGGGGTGGCTGGTCTATTTAGATAGGTCTAGATCCCCCAATCGACTTGTCTTCCCCGTGGCCAACTTCGACTTGTTTGTCCGTGCTGCGGACTATCCATTCTTCGAGGATATTTGCCTGCGTTCTACCCGTCCTCATCGCACATCGAATATGGGATCTGAACTGCACGCTCGCTCGCCGGACGAGCTAGACTATGATGGCGCCACCCCTGACACCGAAGTATTTACCCCTGTGAACCCTTACGGCCCAGGTGATGTCCTCGGTGGGACCAAGGACAAGAAGAGGCTTTTGGCCCGGGAGAAACTGGTCCGGTTATCCTTGGAAGAGAAGGTATCATCATCTCGCTTGGGTTGGGAGCACAGCCTTATCGTGACACTGACAGATACCCACCTAGGTTTCTCTCTTAACGGCTGCCGACTTCTAGAGAACAAAGGTAATTCCATCCAAGGGGATTCCGTCGGCCAAAACCAGTGACGGTCCAAACGGCGCGCGTGGCGGGATTTTCGTGGGCGGCACCAAGGTACGAATGACGTCTGCCACATAATCTCTCCCTAGGTGGTAGGCAACGCTAAAGATTGTATTTGTTTATAGGCTGCGCTGTTTCCGTGTGGCATCTCCCTAGCGGCCACGTGGAACAAGAGTCTTTTGCGGGATATCGGCCGACATCTCGCAAGCGAGGCCAAAGCCAGGTCTGCCAATATTCTCCTGGCCCCAACGGTGTGCCTGCACCGTCATCCCCTTGGCAGAAGGAACTTTGAGTCTTTTTCCGAGGACCCGGTCCTCACGGGAAAACTGGCGGCGCAGTATATCGGTGAGCTTCAGGAGAAGGGCGTCGCGGCTACCATCATCAAACGTCAGCCCCCCCTCGTGGTACTCGTCACTTTTCGTCTACGCGTCACACTAACGGGCAACTGCAGACTTTGTCGGCAACGAGAAGGAGACGAACCGGCTGACGATCGACTCGAGAATATCCGAGCGCCCGCTACAGGAGATCTATCTCCGCCCTTTCGAGATCGCCGTCCGGGAGGCCAACCCGTGGGCTATCATGACGTCGTACAACCTGGTCAACGAGACGCACGCCGACATGCACGAGAACGTCCTGAAAGACATTCTCCGTGGCGAGTGGGGTTACGACGGGGTATGCTTCCTTCACATGACAACCTCGTACCATGTCACCAAAATCTGGTGGACTGACAAAAGCGCACCTGAAGCACTATCATCTCCGACTGGGGTGACACAAACTCTACGGCCGAGTCGGTCAAGGCGGGCTGCGATATCGGATTCCCCTTCTCGACCAAGTGGCGGTTTGAGAAGCTGCTCACGGCACTGGAGAAGGGAAAGCTGTCCCTACAGGACATTGATCGGGCGGCTGAGAATGCCCTGGCACTTGTCCAGCGGGTCAAGGGTGATGACATGTCGGCGGAGCAGGAGGAGCGTGAGGAAGACAGGCCGGCTACACGTCGACGGCCGGCTCGCGCTGGACCTCTGGGACTGGGCCGAGGAGGGAGAGGCCATGTTCGATGGGTCCATCGACTACCTGGTCGAAGTAGACATGGAGGCAGGCAAGGCCGTCGAGCTCAGGGTCGAAATGACCAACGAGCTGCGGCCGGCCGCCAAGCAGAAGGAGTTCAACATGACGCACAAGTACGGAGGGTGCCGGATCGGGTTCAAGGAGGAGGACACGGTCGACTACCTGCAGCAGGCTGTCGACGCCGCTAGGGCCGCCGACGTGGCCGTCATCATCGTCAGCCTCGACGCCGAGTGGGAGTCGGAGGGCTACGACAGGCAGACGATGGACCTGCCCTCGGACGGAAGCCAGGACCGGCTGATCGAGGCCGTGCTCGACGCCAACCCGCGGACCGTTGTCGTCGACCAGTCTGGATCCCCCGTCACCATGCCTTGGGCCGACAGGGTCCCCGCGATCCTCCGGGCGTGGCACCAGGGTCAGGAGGCTGGGAACGCGCTTGCCGACGTGCTGTTCGGGCGCAAGTGCCCTAGCGGGAAGCTCCCCTGCACGTTCCCCCGGAGGCTCCAGGACACGCCGGCGTACCACAACTGGCCCGGCGAGAACCTCGAGGTTGTGTACGGTGAGGGCGTGTACGTGGGGTACCGGCACTACGAGCGCGTCAGGATCGCGCCCCTCTTCCCGTTCGGCCACGGCCTCTCGTACACGTCGTTCGAGTACGGCCGGCCCTCGCTCAGCGGGCGGGCCCTGTCCGGGCCCGATGACGTGCTGGAGCTCGTGCTGGGCGTCACGCTCGCCGGCGCCGAGACGGTGCAGGTCTACGTGGCGGACGAGCGGTCGCGGCTGCCGCGGCCGCGCAAGGGGCTGGCCGCGTTCGAAAAGGTGTTCCTGGAGGCCGACGAGACCAAGCACCTGCGCATCCACATCGACAGGTTCGCCGTCGGCTACTACGACACGTCGGTCTCACGCTGGGTGGCGGGGGAGGGCAGGTTCAATGTGCTCACTGGGGCGTCGTCGGCGGACATCCGGTGGGTGTTTCTCCCTACTTTGCTCTGAATCCTAGCCCTAGCTCTAACTAACATGGGCATTTTCCGGGCGCAGCCACCAAATTAGCTTTGATGTGACGCAGACATTCTCTTGGGTCTTTTAGTGTGGTTTTTCTTTTTTCTTTTTTCCCCTGGTTGTCCTTTGGAAGCGCGGACCGGCGAGTGACTCTTTGGCCGAGGACGGACGAATCAGGGCTTTGGAGAACAATGCAGGGATTGTAGCTTTTAGTCTAGCGGCCGACGCTGTGCCGTCACCGCTTGCGCCGCATTGGACGAGGAGATTGGTCGAAGCCAGATATACAGGCAAACATGATGTTTCGGTTAAGCACGAGTGCATGTTGAGTCCACTTCAAGGCCATTTTCGGCAACTCCTGCGGCTCGCAGTAAAGGAAGATATCGTGCAAGTCATACCGCACAGTATGGGGTGTCGGGTATACACACCGTGGGCTGCCCGTTTCGGACCTAACTGTTCTGGACGGCTTACTTATGAATGCGAGAACATGATTGACGGGACCAGTAACTCACTTCCTTATCTGCCACACAACTGCTCATATACCTACTGCCTCCTGCCTCGTCCACATCTGATGCATCCTGCCTCAACACGCACATGCTCCTTCACTCTATAGCTCAAAAAGCAGCACATAATCTCCAGCCCAGCTATCAGTCTACTAGACAGAATGGAGGGCTCGTCCGAGGATATCAACTCGGCCCTGGAGTCGTTCCGGGAGCGGTGGCGGGCCGAGGTGCGGGCCAAGCAGCCCGGCGCAAGCCACGGGCAGGCGCCGGGGCCGGAACAACCCGCGGCCGAGCCGCCGCAGACCGCCCTGGCCCTGTACGAGGAGGCCGTGGAGATGGAGTCCCGGGGCAGGCTCGGCGAGAGCCTGCGGCTGTACCGGACCGCCTTCCGCATGGACGACAATGTCGACCGCCTGTACAAGGCTAAGCACTTCCCCCACCACGCGGCCCCTCCTCCCCCCTCCAAGCCCACGCCATCGGCCCCGTCCGCAGCCGCGGCCGCGCCAGCGGCTCCCCGCAGGGCCCACCACCCCCATGGGTCTGTCCCAGCGGCAGCGGCAGCGACGACGACAACGCCAACAGCAACAGCAGCAGCAGCAGCCGCCGTCACCGCCCCGCCCCGACCGCGCGTGTCCCTCGACGACCTGGTCAGCGGGTTCGCGGGGCTCGCCATCCAGCCGGCGCCGCCGCTCGTCGAGGGCATGCCGGCGCCGCCGTGCCCCATGGCGGCGCTGCCGGACGAGGTGCTGCTGCACGTGCTGCTCGACGTGGCCGCCGACGACGTGGGCGACTTTGTGCGCTTGGCCCAGGTCTGCCGCCGCCTCGCCTTCCTGGTCGCGACCGAGGGGCGCATCTGGCGCCGCGTCTGCCTGGGGCCAGAGTTTGGCTTCGTCGTCATGCCGCGCGTCTGGAGGACGGATTTGGCCTGGGAGGCGGCGGACCTGGACGGGGCAGGGACGGCCGGGCTGGTGGTTGGTGATGGCGAGGAGGAGGGGGAGAGGGGCGATGACCAGGCCCGGGCGGCGGAGGCACAGTCTCCCTCTGCGGTGGCGTGGTCGCTGCTCGCCAGCACGTACGGCGGCTCATGGCAGGCCATGTTCCGCTTCAGGCCGCGGATCCGGTTCAACGGCTGCTACATCAGCACCGTCAACTACATCCGCGCCGGCCAGGCGTCGGCCAACATGGTGACGTGGAACAGCCCCGTTCACGTGTGCACCTACTTCCGCTACCTCCGCTTCTTCCGCGACGGCACCTGCATCTCGCTCCTGACCACCACGGAGCCGGCCGAGGGTGAGTCTTCTCCATTCTTGCATATGTATTTTTTTTTTTTTTTCTAATATCGTTTCTGCAGTGGTCCCGCACCTGACAAAGGAAAACCTGGAGCTGCACCGCGTGGCCCCCGTGCTGAGCCTCCCATCGAGCGTCATGCAGTATGCCCTCAAGGGGCGCTGGCGCCTGGGCTCCGCCGGTGCCGGGCCCCGGGGGGCGGCCGGTGCCGCGGCTGCGCCGGTAACGGCCGCCGGGGGGCCTCCCGAAGACCAGCCGGCGCCCTCTGAAGAGGACCTGTTCATAGAGACCGAGGGCGTGGGCAAGTACATGTACCGGCTCGACCTGGCCCTCAAGACGGCGGGCAAGGGCGCCAGGAATAACAAGCTCGTGTGGAAGGGCTTCTGGAGTTACAACCGCCTGACGGACGACTGGGCAGAGTTTGGGCTCAAGAACGACAAGGCCTTTATTTTCAGCCGGGTAAAGCGGTTCGCCGTGTAGAGAGAGAGAGAGAGAGAGAGAGAGAGAGAGAGAGAGAGAGAGAGAGAGAGAGAGAGAGAGAGAGAGAGAGAGAGAGAGAGAGAGAGAGAGAGAGAGAGAGAGAGAGAGAGAGAGAGAGAGAGAGAGAG